AAAAAAACCCCTTTCTTCCTACCTACAGGGCCAGAAGAACCTTTTCAGGATTTATTTTCATAGTCCAAAGGACTATATCCACAACATTCAGCATTTAATAACACAGTAAGTACTACACACCTCCTGCAGTCTGTGGCTGAAGCAGCCATTAGTGCAGTAGGCTCTTCCCAGAAGTCCCAGGTAGCTTTGATCTGAGAAAATGATAAAACATAACAGGGGACTGAAAACAAGCTATGCAGAGCTGCTGGTCTTCAGAGAATTAACTCCTTTCTTTCTGGCTTATTCTCTTCAGTCACTCTCTGATGGCCTTTTAAAAGGACTTTTGCTTAGTCCCTTCTCAGGCTGCAACTCGGATTTTTTAGGCTTGCTATAAAAGAATAATTCTGCATTAGTATTAATTTGACCTTTAAAGTTTGACCACTCAAGAAATGAAGGTGTGCTACAATTCCTGTAGATATTCTAATATATCTACTGACTAGAGAAGCTCCAGATTTCAAAGAAATCTCACTAGGATAGAAAGAAATAAAACAGCTTTATAATAAGGAAGAGTAATTTAACAAGTGACCTTTTCCAGTGCTCCTTTAAAAGCTGTCACCCATTTTTAAAAAACGCAAGATACTTGTACAGCAGTTCCTCAGAAACAGAACTAGATTTGGGGGGAAAAATGTGCTACAGTGCTACCATCCCTAAGGAAGGTTTAATTTACCTTAAGTTAACTTAACTTACTATTTTAATTTTAAACTTAAAATAGTACTAAATGACTCCATTAGAAATACAATCACAGGTCTTCTTACATAGACACATTTTACATGTGAGACAACACGCATTCTGCATTTAAGGTATGGCCAAGAAAAAAGGAATGCTATGCTTGCTTTGACTAGTCAGCAGTGCTCAACAAAGATGAAGGAGGACCAAAAACAAGTGCCACAAATTAACAGCATTTTCATTGAAGTACTTCAGTCTCTGATACTTGGAATGTACATGCAGCAGACAAAACACACAATGCAAGTGAATGTGGAAAAAATGCAAGTTTCAGAACAGTCACAATCAGTACTCCAACTACCAAAAGTTTACCATTTCACTGTAAAACTCATCAGAAATTGGTGCCACCATTTATGAAACATTCTACTGTGCTGGTGACTGACTGATAATTATTTTCAAAATCAGAATGACACAACAAAAACGTAGGGTAGGAAACAAGTCTGTTCTGATAGTTTTGGTGCTGCCTACATCTGTTTTGATAAACCAAACTGTGTGTGGCAGTTCTGTCAGGCACTAGAATTGGTCAGTTCTGCAGTTAAACCATTAAAATAGCTCTTAGCACATTTTTGGCGGATGCCAATTAGCACTTGCCAAAGCAATGGAGAGGAGTTTCAAAGCTGGCACACACTAGAAAACCTTTCCTGCCTGCACACAGCCATTCTGCATGGACCTTAAGGCAGTTACAAACTATGGATGCAGGACTGTAGGGCCATGATGCCAAAGAAAAATCATGCACACGTTATTTATTAGAATAGACATTTGTTAAATAGGTATTGTCTCTCACTGAAAGTATCACAGATCTACCACAGTTTTTTTCTGTAAGTTATTTCAGAGCAGGTGATTCTTTGCTGGATATAGGGATATATTTGGCATGTCTTGCTCATATATGATAACATGAAAAAAGTTTTTCATATTCAATTTTGAATAAAATGAAAAGGAATCATGCACCCAGCCTCAACATCTTACAACAGTTCTTTCAATTTCAACACAATCAACAGGCACATTTATAGGAGCATTCAGAAAAAGAAAGACCCACCCACAGTGCAAACAAATGCAAAGTCTTTTTGTGAACTTATAAAAGCTATAAATGAAAGGTTGGGTGCAACAGTTGAAATTTCATTTCGGTTAAACAGCGTCTCTTAAAGCTGCCTTAAGGCAGAGGACTGTGAAGTGTCTAAAGCAATATCTATTTTTAGGGAAGGCACACAAGAGCCAGAGAACTGCAAACCACTAAACACTCATCTCTGCTCTGTGCAAACTGTCAGGAAAACTAACAAAGGGCATGCATGCCTGTCCTAATGTAAGCTGTAAAGGACATCGTATCACAAACCTTCTGTCCTTTCCAAAAGCGAACCTGCTTTTAGATGAACACTGATGTCCATAAAAAATCACCGGGATTTCTGAGAAGGCTTTCAACAAGGTCTCTCATCAAATGCTTTTATGGAGCATAAGAAGCCATGACAAATGAGAGGAATTATTCTGGTAAAGACAGAGACCAGCTGCAAGGATTAGCAGAATTTAATCAAGTATCACATGATTTCTTGCAAAAAGGCAGATGAAATGTGAAGAAATTAAAAGAGAAAAAAAACCATAACTCCTAAAGTCATATAGGCTTTAAGCTGATCTTTACTACTCAAGACATTACCTTGAGGTGATTATCCATGACAACATGGATCCGTGAAAACATCATTTCAGAACTCAGTAGAGGTTACAAAAAAAACCCCAATCAAATGTTGGGATATATTATGAAAAGAAGAGAGGGACAATGTATAGTCCAAGGATCTCCCTGAATGCTATTTGTAATTCTGTCTCCCCAGCAAAAAGGGCACAGAAATGAAAGAAAAAATGCAGAAAAGCACAATGAAAAAATCAAAACTCAGAGAACCTCTATTTTAGGAACAATTAAGCAGTCATGAACTGCAGAGAACAGGTCAGGACAGAAGTTTGTGAAAATCACAGCTTGCTGGAGAATACTAATAGAGAGTAATTGTTCAATATTTCTTCCAACAAGAAAAAATGTAGGAAGAGCTTACAAACTATTATAGGGCAGTAAACAAACAGAAGACTGTTCACAAAGCACGTGGTTCAGCTGTGGATCTCTGTGTACAGGATGTTGCTGACAGCAAAAGTTTCTAAGAACAAAAGCAATGAGACAAATTCACGGTAGGTCCACCTAGAACAGCTTGGGAGGGGGGTGGGGGTAAGGTTCAGCTGGAAGCTGCTGGGAAAGAACACCAAGAGAACCTTGCTTTAATGCAGGACATTACCCAAGGTCATGTTTCTCCTGGCTGGATCCCTTCAGAGAGCAGAGGCTGGGCTAGATGGGCACATACAATGCTTGTATTATATTACCCAAAGGCATGAGCTATGGTGAGCTCATCAAATTCTCTTTTTCACTCCCTGCATTGTCTCCCCACAGAACAGCAAATCAAGTCGAGCATTCTGAACAACTGAAAACCTGAATCCAAGATATTTAAAGGACTATTTATAATCTTTTTATCAAAATCAACTATTCTAGTTTGGTGACCTGATAAACTGAGTAAGAGAAGAAAAATTTATCAGACTGCAGAATTATTTTTCAGAGAAACAAAAGGCAGCCAAAAACCTATGCTTCCTTTCATTTCACAAGCAATTTGGTTTTCTTTGCTTTCCTCTTCTTGAATGTAAAAAGACAGGTAAAGTCAGATTCAAAACCCTGAAAGACAGCAAATTTTATGTAAATTTCTCTGGCAAATAACAGGAAGGAGAAATGAAATATAAATCATACTAATCTACTGTGCCACAGAAATAGCTTCTCAATTAAATTTTTTGAAGCATTGCCACTCTACACAGATATATGAAGTAGCACTAGCTATGGTAAAAGCATTTTACTCTGCTCAGATTATAAACTAAGCTGTCATCAATTCCATATAGCTCTATTTTATGCTTATGTGATTTCATACCTGTGGAAGTTAAGAGGTATGAAACTGAACAGAGGCTGCACATCTGAACTACCTTCTGTAATTGCTATGACATTGATATCTGTCTCTAGACAACAAAATAAAAGAACAAAACCCAGCATCTTCCCTTTATCAACTCTGCATTACTGTTTCTTCAGTGTCAGGCTATAATACAATAGTGTACTAATGGATATGCTTTCCAGTTATGTCAGATAAATAATAAATCCTGGTGGTCTGTTTAGAAGAATAATGCCTTAAATATACAACCTTTTGTTCTGAAAATGGATTGTCTGCAAATCGTTTAGACATTGATTATACTGCTGTTGTGCTTAAGGAATGGTGTTCCCCAGCTCAGTGCTCCCACTGAAACACTCCAAACCACACACTGCTCGCTCGCTCCCCATCACCCCTTCCCTGTGGAGGGCTGGACAGGAGAACTGGACACAAAAAAGGTAAAGATCTCGGGTTGAAATAAGAACAATTTATGGGAAAGAGCAATGAGAAAGAACAATAAACAGTAACAGTGCCAATATCAGTGTACGTGGGAGGTGAATGATACACACACCAGGTGTAAACTCCCGACCACACCTGACCGTGCTGCCACACTATGGGACCTGGAAGGGACTCCTTCTCCCATCCCTGGAAAACGAGGAGAGGGGCTAGAGAATAAAAAGTCCTTTGAGTCGTGGCCACACCCGTTCTGGCTACTGCAAAAATCTGTCTTGGCAGGAACCAGAACAACTTGCAACAAATTAAATAAATTATATACTCTACAGTAATATGACGTAAACATTTTTCTAAGGCAAGCCAACCGGCTTCAAAATTATTAATTTCTATTCATATGGATATCAACTGATATTTATTTGTATTTATAAGATCAATTACTTATGTTGACTTAAAGTGAAACCCCAGCCATCTTGCCTACTTCTATTCAGCAGCACTGGTATAAGTTCTAAAAGTTCTGTAAGTTCTAAAAGTTACCTCCTTGACCAACACAGTATTATTTTGCTTTACAAAGAAAGCACTAATTCTCAGAAAACACAAAGCATGATAATCCCAGGGTCGCAAAAAACATTTCTAGAAGTATTCTGATATGTTACTATATACTTTAATATAACTCAAATCAGAAGAAAGAATTTATTAAAAATCATGAACAAGCACTAATAAACTTAGAAAAAAATTTAAGATCAAAATAATTCAGCAATTTATTAGAAGAAAACAGACTTTAAAGAAAAAAATTCCAGGCCAACTATAAAAAATAAAGTAATAATAACCATGCATTAAAAATAAAATACCTACTTGCCAGTTATGGTCCTCCAAAGCTGCGCACCTGCAATTGTAAGAATTTAAGATGAAACAAAATGCACTAAATCAGAAAAAATTTCATTATTTATTCATAGAACATATTCAGAATTGGGACAAAATGACTAAGGAATTATCTGTATCAGCCAAACAGGAAAGCTATATCATCTTACAGTAACAGTTCTTGAATTGCTTTCTGTAAACTTAATATACAGTTAAAATCATTAATGGAAAAAGTCAGGATCTTCTATGGCTACATTTCCACATGGAAGGATGTAATGAAGATGATAACATAACTTTAACATGAACATGCCATCTACTTCTACACACTGACACCCACTCCATATTCCCCATGAATCTGTAATAGTCTTGCCATCTAGTGGCTGGCTGGAAGCGTGAAGCAGTTACATGGATGTGATATACTGGGAAGAATTTTTCATGCTTCTTGGAGTGGCACTTCATTGATTTCTATTCATTACCACAAGATTCCTACAGTATTACTTCGAGGGCCTGATTTTTCTTGAACTCTGTCTACAATGGCATCAAAGGCAATAGTAAAACAAATTAATTTGCTACAGTAAATAATTATTGTATAAGCTAGGAAACAGAGGTCTTCCTAGCCTTATCTGTAAAATGAATGGTTAAATAATCACATAAACATGAGATTGGTACATCCTGAATTTGGTCACTACAAAAATATTATTTACAGGTATAAGTGAATTTACCTAAATCATTGCCCTCCAGCTAGCAAGGCATTCAGTGTTTGTGGTGATTTATACAGCACAGAGCTTAAAAAATCAAATTCTGATTAGCTTAAAAAGTTGCCCTCTGGGCTTGCAATACTCAAGCAGGAAACAGAATGGTAACCAAGACTCCCAAAAAAGGGAATGATAGTAAATCATCCTTCAGAAAAGGTAGCAAATACCTGTTGTAACTAAGCAGGGAACAACAGGCTTTGGCAGTCAGAAATTAAGTGTTAGTGGAATACTGTGCTTCTCTGACATCTATTTCCTGCTTTGGACTATGTTCAGATGTTTTTTCAAACACTTTGCATGGGGTTGAACAATAAATAAAAGACAAAGTAAGAATCTTGAAAAGAACAATCTTCATGGCAAAGAAAACAGAAAACTTATAATGAGCGCTTTGTCAAAGAATTTTTAAGATGGTAATAAAGTACAAGACAGGAATTGAAAAAAAAGTTCCAAACCACCAGACCAGCCAACAAACTCAAAATCCCTTTCAAAATTGCTTGTATTCACATAAGACTTTATACACTCTGGAAAATAAATGCTATACAAAGTAAAAAGAAAATAGTGTTCACTTTTTATTTCAACTGTGCTAAGATAGGTAATTTCTCTATCTATTTAAAAATTTCACTGATATATATTGGATGCCCCAAACTTTCCAAAACTTAAATGATTAATGTTGGAAGAAGTATGAATGTCTAGGAAAACGCTGTGTTTTAGAAAAGAATGCATTTTCAGACCTAGCAGTTAAGAAACAAGAATGACTGTCCACTCCTAACAATTACACTCATCTAAGTGCTAAAACAAATGTCCTAAAGCCCTCCCTATAAAATATAGCAAAACTTAATTGAAAGTGGCAATAGACCATCAAAGATCTACTATCACTCCCTAATATTAGCTGATACTTTTAAAATAATCATAATATTGACCTGGCTTTAGTAATGAATAGCATGCTCCAAAGTGCAGGTGTTTAAGCACAGAACTCTATCAGTACACTTACCTTTTATCTTTGAGAATACCAAATCCTTCATTATCTGAAGAATTAACACTCCAAGTATTATAAGGGAAGTCAGATGATACACTCTCCAAGGGGTCAACGCAACAAACCTAGAATATCAAGAAGAAATAAATGTTGAACTTCAAAACTCATTGGAAGCATGCAAAAACCAACAGCTGCTACTAATACTGAAAATAAATAGGAAGAAAGAGACTCAGATTGCAATAATTGAGTTCAGTTTCTCCCCATAGCCCTTCCATGAGAAGCAAATATTGAGAGCTCCAAGCATTGCATTTAAAAATACAAAGATTAAACACTGAGTTTGTAGTAGATTTTTGTCCATACTTTTATTTACACACAGAGAAAATAAAGAAAACAAAATATTTTAATTATTGCATAGAAAGTACTACTTTTAAATTAATGGTGGTTTCATTAAAACTAATTAGCTTGGCACAATGCACAAAAAAGGTTAATAACTTTCTTTCACTTCCTACAGAACCTATGTTTAAACAAGATTTTTATACAAATCATTCTTTCAAACACAGAGATGAGGTAAATCTATATAACTGCATAACACTAAAACTTGTCTTCATAACAAGATTTCATGAATTATGTTTTTAATTACATAATTTTTTAGAACATGTCTAGTCAAGTCAAACAGACCTAGACTCAGAAAGTATGAATTACAATCTCATGCATTGCTGACTTTGCTACCCAGGTGTGTTTGGAGATAAGCTCTTCCATCTGTTTTACTGGCAAATATCTTAACTCACAAAAAAGAGTGTGAAGTAAAAAGAATTAAAATTCAACTAAATAAATTTAAAAATCGAAAATATTTTAATAGCTAGTTTTGAGCACTTTAAATCAGTGATCTGAACAGAAACAGTGAACAAGTTGAGTTTTCAAAGTAAAAGCAATGAACTTTAAAAAGCTGAGGTTAGCCAAAACCTGTAAGAATCACTATCCAAGGCACTGGATCAAATAAGAACACCAACAGAAACAAAATCATACAATGCTGGGATGTTTTCAAGAAACCTCTCAGATTTGAAAACAGGGCAGCTGGCTGCCCAGCTTCTGCCCAGTTTCTGCTGCAGAGCTTTTCTGCAAAAAAAAAAAAGGCCAAGGGGAGTGAAAATAGTAGCAAACATAGCCACTGCAGGAAGCCAAGAGGTACCCTTTGAGCACTCTTAGATTTTTTAGAAAGAAAACTGACTTCACAATGTTTCTAACAAGCTCAGGACACACTGCTGTAGTAGCAAACTGTTACAGTATTTGTTGAAAACGTCAAAAAGAAAATCTTCATTAAAAAAAGTCCATGTCACTAATTTTCACATTTAACACAAACTCATAACACCAATCACCCTGAGCAAACCAGTATTTAATTCCAATACAAATGCATAAGCTCACTCTGAAGGTTTTATCCAAATATAAATGGTTTTTATATCTGTAGAAAATTTGAATTATAAGATTATTCTATAAAATAAATGTATAAAATGAGCACCTTCGTATAATTCAGCTAGCTCAAGAAAACCAACAGAGAAATGTAGAGAAAAATTATTACAGGGCAACCTCTATCAAAACTGCCCAATCATAGTTCAATAAATCAAAACTTGTAACAGCTTTGCATCATTGTCCTATGATTGTCCTACTATTTTTCTTGGTAATATTATTCAGCATTAAAAATCTTTGATTGTGTTTAAGTGTTAAGTTCCACTGCATGGAAGACTTTGTTTACCCTACTTACTTAATTTACTGATAACAGGCTGCGGGAGAGATGTGATGTGGTATAAAAAAAAATCAAATGAAGAATTTTTCATACATCTTCTAGGCAACAGAAGTTTGTAACAAATGCAGACCTTCAAACTGTTTGGGCTTAATACCATGTCTATTTTACAGGGTCTTCGTGGTGCTTGTGCATGAATGTTTATAGAATCACACAGAATGCCCTGACTTAGCAATTACCACTGGCCACTCAAATACATGCATCAACAACAAAATGTATATACAAGTGTGTACATCTGTGTACATACACACATCTTACTAGCTTCTCAAGATAGATCAGATGCTTACTAAGAAGGCTTAGTGTGTCTTTCAAAAAATGCACAGAACATGTTTGACCTACTTTATGCTCCCAACTAAACCACACTGTTGGTTTCACTGCAATCACAGCTGTCACCTGCTGTTAAAAACAATTGCACTAATGAGGACTAGGATTAGCAAACAAGGATTAACAAGGTAGCATCCTCCCTGAAAGATGCTTCCAAGTCATGTCATTCCTCCTTCTCAACACTGCAGTGTCCCTGCTCGAATGTTTGAGGAAAAAAATCTGAAATCCAGTTGAAGCAGCTAATGGAGTCACCAAACAAGGACTCAACTTCTTTGGAGAGCTTTGAATTGTTCTGACTGAACTTCCCACATCTTAACATTATTAGCTCTTTATCTAGACTGTGTTGTTTGCAAGAAAGACCATCCCTTGTGAATTCACCCAGCTAGCTTGTGTCAGCCCTCAGGTGCCAGAGCCACACAGATTAGAAAAGCTATTTGAGAGATCTGCATCCTTGAAGCCCTTCCTAGTGGAAAGCTGATAAGGTCCTCTTGCACTCTTTTGGCATATATCTATCAAACATCAGCTTATCAAACAGTTCAACATGCAGGCGTCTGAAAACCACTTTTTTGCTACTGCCACTGTCAGGATTCAGAATTCTTCTAGAAATTATCGACATGATGCATAGCAACCAGACTAACAGTTTCTGTGATACTTCTGCTTATTAATAAAAGTTAGGGCATTTTTGCCCCTCCTTTTTTTTAAAAAAAAAAAAAAAGAGGTTGTTCTCCTAAGCATTTCTAACACACACATATCTGACAAAAATTAAAGGCTCCAGAATGAAATCCTCATATACTGCACTCCTATATTGTAGAAGAATGCTATGTAAGAAAAGCTTATTGAACATGTTCTCTTTTTTAAGCAATAAACAAAACAGATTTAAGTTCAAATTGTTTAATTTCTTCTACAAGTGGTGCAGAAGTAAAAACCATTACTGGAGACACAACCAAGATTTGTTCCCCCCTTGAATTCTGCGGTGTTTTGGAATGTTTTTTGAGGGGAACAGAGGGGTTAAGAAACAATGTACAGAATAATGCACTCCAGATAACTACTTCAGCAGTTAATAGGACAGCTTGCACAAGGGGACAAGAAATTCTGCTGTAGGCAGTGCAGGACTACAACAAAACCCAGTCATGAGGTGCACAGGACTCAGTCCCTGTCAGTGGCTGGAGCAGGCACTCCCTGCACAGGAAAGGCCCTCACGCAGACACAGCCCCAGGGGTGGGATACGGCCACCGGGCTTGGAGGCTGCAAGAAGGAACAGTGGCCTCACTGTGAAGGATGTCCTCTGGTGCACAGCACTCAAGTGAAAGAGCTAATGGAGGTGCTAAGCAGGGGGCAGACCACTGCAGGGCAGGACTTTCAAAAGCTCAGCTGTGTGAGAACCTGAGCAATGTGCTCCAAGTGGAGCTCATCTGAGCAAGCAGACCAACTGACCTCTGCCTGTTCTTCCACCCTACGTCCTTCCATGTAGGAAGAATGTAAGTGTGATGGAGCCAGCCTGCCACTCAACTCCACTGTGCAAGACTGAAGAACCATTTTTGTAAAATGAAACAGGAGCAATATCAAGGGATAATTAAGCACTGGCTGTCCACAAAGGTTGTGGAATTTCCAACCACATGTGATGGCTGTGAAGACAAAACCCTGAGCAACCTGATCTGATTTTGAGCTGCAAGCCATACTAGAGACCTCATGAAGCCCCTACCAATCTGAATGGTATTTTCATTCTGTGACTATTGTAGGCTATTAGAGGTGGTTGGCAAATATTTTTTGGTAAGATGCTGACCTTAGAACTTAAAGCCACAACAGTTTCTGTTTCTGGGCCTGGTTAAACTGCAGCTGTTCTGAAATGATTCTAAACTGCACAAGTAAGAATCAAAACTTGACAACTTCCACAATTAAAAGTGGAAATTATTCAACTGCATGATGGTGAACCTAAAGATAGAAAAGTAGGCTAAGGTACCTTCTTCTTGTCTTTTCTTCAGTTCTTTAAGGTATGGATGGCCATTTGTCAATACTGTCAATTTGTTGTATCAAAAAGCAGGTATCTCACAGTACACCAGAATTGTCCCAGAGCTCCTGGGACAATGACCTGCACAAACTGGATTGTACAAAGTTACTCAAGTGTCATGAGCCAGCTAAGAAATTTTGACGGTTAACAATATCATACAATATTGCAGTCTGTAAATGTAATAAAACTTATGGGGCATGACAAAAGCTATTTTAATCGTATCAGGAGATACAGGGAAGGTGCAGACCTACCAAATTGTTTCAAATATCAAATAAATCAATTTGATTCTTTCATTTCAGCTGTTAAGGTTCTGTTTTTTTTACAACACATTCTACAGCTATGAATGAGTTGCATTTTGCAAACACAACACATAAGAAAATATTTAATCAAAAATTAAATTATTTAGACTATTAGCTGCCAATGCTAGTTATTTCTGGAAAGCCTTAGCAGGTACATTTTTAATAGCCATCTATCCCTAGATGAAATCCAGAGACAGTCACATAAATAAATGAAAGCTGTCAATAACACAGATGTGAGCATGGACCTTTGGTTCACTATCAGCTTTTATCACACATTTATCGGCTGCATGAGTGACTTGTAGACTTCAGTTCTCTGTTCCACAAACTCATATTTACATCTTAAAACCAGAGGCCAAACTCTTCAGAGTAATTTTATGGAGTTTTAAAGAGCACAGGTAGGTATATAACTGTTTCCTCATAAAATGTTTAGGTGAAAATCTACTGACACCTTGCAGCTAGAGCTTTCCATAGAACTGGTCTTCTTCCAATCAGGCACTGATAAGCAACCATGGGCTATGACATCAACCACACAGAGAATGTCCCTCCCGAGTGGAGAGGAAATAGTTCTAGTGTACTTTGAGAACACTGAACTGCTAATTTCAAAGCTAGGTGTACTTTGCTCTTTCAGGGGACCACCTAGCGCTGTTTCACATAAACACCTACAGTGAAGGCATTTGGGTAAGGAAAAGATGTGGT